CCTCCCCCCTCTCCCTCCCACCCGCCCCCAGTAGCTTTCTTTACTCTCTGGTTGAAGTATAATGGGAGTTAGGTGCCCAAATTGAAAATCTGACCCATAAAGGATACCAGTATACTTTCCCTAACTGTAGGGCTTGCTTAATTCCATTCTGTCTACTTAATCCCTTCTGCATTTTCAACTCAGGTCTTCTCTTAAGAGCTGTTGTGCATTGTATCTAGTTCATAATAGCCATGAAGTTCTTTCCCAGGCATGGTTGCATTTGTGATAAGTAAAGCAGCCTTTAAAGATGCAATGTGGAAAATACTTTGAGAGACTTTTGCATAAAATATTCTTCATATTACCACTCTCAGTCAAATGTTTAAGACAGTTAATGAAGCCACACTGGTGACTAAAATAAAATAACTAAAGTTAACCTTATGTATGGTGCTTGATACCTGATCGTGGTATCATTCTGTACACACATATGTATTTACTCTATTGAAAACAGTCTATATAATAATAGGGTGGGAGTTAAAATTTCTACCAGTTCAAGGGTTATTACTAGGTGTTCTCTTTAAAGGTTATGGAGAGAGCCCCAGAATAAGCAAGCCCAAATACCATTACGCCTCTCACAGCTAGACTACAACAGAACTAAAGAGAATCTTTCACTGTGCACTGGGTCTTCTGCAGTCAGTTTTTCAGTACATTTGTATCCTAGAGTCTGTTTCTCTTGCAGGAATATAATGGAGATCCCCACCAATTTGTTATTGCTTTCATCTGCTTCCCAGTTTAGACCTAAATTAGTTGTTAGAACCCCTTTAAACTAACTGCAAATGACAAAAGCTTTTTCCCTAGTCTTCCATGGCCTGTTGCTTCTGCTTTGAATTCACCTCCTGCCCCTGCCATGATTCATGGTTGTTCTGCTGACAATTTTCATTTTCTTTGAGGGCTCTTCATACAAAGCAAAAGTTAAAAGCTCATGTGGTGGAGCATGAAAGCGACAACCAAAGCCACTGTGTGCTGATGCCAAAAAAAGTTGCAGAGGAGTGAAACTGCCATTCCAGCTTTGGCAGGCTGTTCAGCTTTACCCATGGCCACAGCTCTGCTGAATCCACATTTTTCCCTCCTTTTTTTTCTTTTTTCTTTTTTTTTTGGAAAGGAAGGTCATGCCTAGGGAAAGGTATCAGACCAGAAGCCATCAGCAATCTCTTGCTTCATAGACTTACAAACCCAGAGGGCTGGATAATTTTACAGCTAACTAAAAATATTGTTGTTGTTGCAAATGCCAAAATATAAAGACAGAATTCATGCTGCAGGGCATAATCAGACCATCTGCAAAGATCTGCATCTGTTTTATTCTACGTACGCAGCCTCCTGTGATGTGCCTACTGGGTGGGGTTGACTTTTTTTCTTATTCATTAAATCTTAGTCATTGTTGGCTGTTTCAACCTCTGTTAGGGTTTTATTTTAAGACCTTCTATCCACAAAGCTAACAGTGTAGGTTTATCATCCTACATGCCTTTCTCCTTGAAGTATTGATGGGGATGCTTATCTCTTGCTTTCACTTCAATCAGAATTAAATTCACTGTAGTAATTTGCTAAGGTAAATGGAAGCACTGGGATTTTTGCCTTATGTTGCCTGTGAGGCTGAGATTTCCTGTGGTCCAGTCCTGACAGGCTCTGGGCTCACACATCTGTTGATGTCAAGTGTTCAATACTCCTTAGCTTAAATTACTCAGAAGAGGTGTTATCTCACATGGGCCTCCTAGCTCTTTTTCACTTCTGAAATAAAGTGGAATAGCTCTAAATTATTAAAGAACAATGTACTTAGCATATATTTATAAAATGTTTCCAAGCTACATCCAGCTTTAATGTGGTTAGATGGACCCCAGCATTGATCTAATTAAATATGAGTGCATCCTAGCAGGATCACAGGATATTATTCTAACAGGATTTCTCTTCAGCTACAGAGCTGGGGTTTTGGCCCCAGCAGTTGCAAAAGTGTACATTGACTAAAGGGTATGTCAAGGGTTGAACAGCTTCAAGATGAGGTCAAACATTCATTTTTCCCCCATGGTCATGTGGCTAAACAGAACGTTGGACAAATTCTTAAAATAGCCTTTTATACTCTTGGATTCAATAGTATCCCTTTAAATCATATATGGGGTAGCCACTGAAGGAGTTACCATTGTTCTACAAGGTAGCATTGGGCTGATGTTGTAACAGTGATGGCCTAGGGAAAATGAGAGGCAAGGGTTTTTGTGGACTAACTACATAGTTGGGAAGCATATAGACAAGCTTTTGGATATAGAGTACAGTACCCAATTATAACCTTGCCTCTTGCACAAGAGGCAAGAATTTTTGTGGGTGATATCTTTTACTGGACCAACTGCATGGTTGTGATAGATGTAGGTATCTTTGGGGTATCACAGTACCCTTTCTCAAGTCTCTCAGAGAGAAGCAGACACAGCAGAACTAAGTTGCAGAACAAAAGCTTTTTGATTGCATATTTCCTGGACCATCATGGCAACATCACTTCAATGCTACCAAAACATTGTTATATGAATCATTCATAACACATACTTTGTCTCTTGTGAATCTGTTTGTCATTGTTTCCACAGTATTACCAAGCAGATAGAATCAATCTCTTTATTAACTTGTCTCAAATGGTATGTTGCAGACTAGCCTACCACAGAACTGATGATGATGATGAAGAAGCCGCAAGAGAACGCCGCCGACGAGCTCGACAGGAAAGGCTGCGGCAAAAGGAAGAGGAAGATGTAGGAGGACAAGGAACAGAGAAACCAGAAGCTAATGCCCAGAACAGGTAAGCTTCAGTTTAAGTGGTTATTCACTAATGCAATTAGTGGAGCTCTGTGTTTAGGGACGGGACGTAATGTTCTAGGTGTTTTTCAATCCTATGTTCCTGAGTTCAGGGAGTAGATCTAGACTATGTTTTGCCTTACTCTAAATAGAACTTTATTCCCATTGGTTTAAAAAAAACCTGTTTCTGGAGTAAGGTGCCACTTATTGGGTGTATCTAAATGAGATGCTTTACTTGGTAAAGAGTCACCATCTACATGTGCACACAGTAACTGTTCAGTAAATTAGTTTACTGTGCAGTTACTATTAGGGGTGTGAAAATGGGCTGTATTTGATTCAGATTCAGCCCGAATTGGGGACAGTGATTTGATTAGCTGATTCAGATTGTCTCCCATTTGATTTGGCCAAATCCAAATCTGAAGATTCGATGCTGATTCAGAGAATCAGCGATTCGGCCATAGACACAGCTTTAAATGTTTTTTCTACATACCTTGATGTACCAGGTGCAGGGTGGGGGAGCCTTGTGTGCTCATCAGCGAACCCAGAAGTGGACCAGAAGTATTTCCAGTCCAATTCTGGGTTCACTGCTGAGCACGCAGAAATACTTGTGGTCCACTTCCGGGTCTGCTGGGGAGCATGCTGCGGGCTGTCCCCCACACACTCCCTGCAAGACCCAGAAGTGGACCGGAAGTGTGTCTGGTCCACTTCCAGGTTTGCTGCCAAGCATGCTGGGGAGCCCCCTGAGCTCTTGTGGGATGTTCCATCTGCTGCAGCATTGCAGCATTCATGAACCGCCTGCTACCTTGAGTTATGTAGAAAAAACATTTAATGTTGTATCTATATCCAAATTGCTGAATCTTTCCAAATCTCTCCAAATCAATTTGGAAGGTTGCGATTTGATTCACAGAGATTAAAGGGCTTCCTGATTCAATTTGGATTCAGATATTTGGCCACTGAATTGGGCTGGATCTCCACCAAATCGAATCAGGGATTGAAGCTTCTTATGGCCCTAGTTACTCTCTGTAAATACAGGTAGTAAACAAACTGTACATTAGCGCATGTGTAGATGCTGACCAGGAGCAAGTTTGCTCCTGGTCAGCACTAACACTAGGGAACCACAGGGGACAGGAAACTCTCTGTTTCCCAGTCCAGCCCAGGTCTGGCCAAAAACTGTCCCACTTCTGGGGTAGGTCCCAGCCAGCCCTGGGCTGCATGGGGATTTCCCTGAGCAGCCTGGGGCTGCATGGAAACTGTCTTTTCTGGGGCAGCTCCCAGTCAGCTCCAAACTGTGTGAAGATTTCCTTACCCACCACAGAGCTGGATGGGAACTGTTCTGCTTCTGAGGCAGGTCCCTGAGTATTTCTTTGCCCAGTCTGGAGCTGCCTGGGACCTGCCCCAGAAAGGACAGTTCTTGCCCAGCCCTGGGCTGCTTGGGGAAATTCTCATGCAGCCTGGACCTGGCTAGGAACTGCCTCAGAAGTGGGATATCTCCAGGCCAGCCCTCAGCTGCATGGGGAGCCCTGCTGGGCATGGGGCTTGTCCCCACATGCAGGGGGCCAAGAGACCTCTGTAGTGGCAGCTGTTTCCCAGCCCCCTGCACATCAGGACACCTCCCAATGTGCCTGGGGCCAGGAAACAGCTGGCACTGCAGCTAGCATAGCTCTCCTGGCCCTGTGCACCCTCCCAGCCCCCGGGGTAGCTCCCAGGGGGAGCCTGGAGCTCCTCCTGGATGCTGCAGCAGTTCAGAGTAGGATTGGGGCAGCCCTGTACTGGGCTAATTCCATTGGCAGCAGATTTGCTCCCTGGGAAGGCTTACTGTACATTAAGACTTTGTAGCATTAATTGCACATGTAGATGTGCCCAGAGTGAAAGTAGTACTAGGCCCACAGTATTGTTGTTGTCTTGAGTGTATCTTTATAAGGAGGTAAAATTCTAAATTAACTAGGTGGGATAAGGTTGGTAGGTCAAATATATATATCAAGTGGAAGGTTGTTTGTATCCATTAGTTACTATGTGTAATTGATGAGCTGTTATGATTGAGCATGAGAGAGTTGGAGAAAAAGTAATATTTCTCATCATAGATATTTACTATTTTCAGTGAAAAGCAAAAGTGGTTAGAAAGGCAGTGAATGTAGAAGAATAAAATGCTTAGAAATTTAAGGGAATGCTGATCCTTTAGGGTTCCAACAGTCTTTGTTTGGAAAGGTCTTCCATGTCTTGTAATGCATTATGTTCCTAGGCCAACTTAGCTTTCTGGTGAACCAGTGTCCTTAAAAATCACAATTTCATTTCACTCCATTTGTGTGCCATTTTGGGGGCAGTGTTGCCAAAAGCCAGTCTTGAAGAGAAACAGTCACCTTTCTCAATATTAGAGGTGGCCTCAATAGAGTAAAAACTGTATATTGGCTAAATAAGTTCCGTGAGAGTTTGGCTGTATGTCAGGAGTCTTTTAATTCATAAGGAAAAGCTCAAAAAAGAATGCATCAAAGCAAACTGGAGAGCTCCATAAAACACATGAAACACTTCCAAATATTTTGTCTCAGTATAGCTTTGTCACGGGTAGGTCTTGTCTTACCAATCTCATCTCCTTCTATGACTGGGTCTCTCGCCACCTGGACACAGGAGATGTGGTAGACATTATATATCTAGACTTCCAAAAGGCTTTTGATCTAGTATCCTACGATATCCTTGTGGGGAAACTGGAAGCTTGTGAGCTCAGCTTCTCAATGGTCCAGTGGGTGGGAAACTGGCTACACGGTAGGACCCAGAGAGTTCTCATGAATGGATCTGTGTCATCCTGGCGTGAAGTAGCTAGTGGTGTCCCTCAGGGGTCCATGCTTGGATTGGTACTTTTCAACATCTTTATCAATGATTTGGATGAGGGAGTGAAAAGCTCACTGGCAAAGTTCGTGAATGATACCAAGTTATGGGGCAGTGTAGTCATGCCAGAAGATAGGTTGCAGATACAGGAGGACTTGGACAGGCTCAAGAATTGGACAGACTGGAACCAGCTTAAGTTTAACACTTCCAGGTGTAAGGTGCTCCATCTGGGAGCAAACAACCCTCAGCATACATACAGGCCTGGTGGTGACAGCTTGACTTGCACTGTGGCCGAAAGGGACCTTTGCATGAATATGAGCCGTCAACGCGAGGCAGTGGTCAGCAGTGCAAACAACACGCTGGCATGCATCAACTGATGCATCTCTTGTAAAGCTAAGGAAGTGATACCCCCGCTGTACTCAACACTAGTGTGATGGTAGTTGGAGTACTATGTTCAGTTGTGGGTGCTGCACTTCAGTAAGGATGTGGAAAAACTTGAGAGGGTCCAGAAAAGAGCTACCCATATGATCAGAGACTTGCAAGGCAAGCCATATGAGGAAAGGCTGAGGGACCTGGGCCTCTTTAGCCTAAAGAAGAGAAGGTTGAGAGGGGTGTTGATGGCGGCTTACTGCTGTATCATAGGTGTGCATCCAGAGCTCGGTGAACAACTGTTCACTAGGGCACCCCTGGGGAAGACCAGGACCAATGGATATAAACTCCTGGAAGGCCACTTCAGGCTTAATACCAAGAAACACTCCACAGTCAGGGTGCCCAGACTGGAATAAACTCCCTCTAGAGGCAGTACAGTCACCTACCCTGGAGGTTTTCAAGAGGAGACTAGATAGTCATCTCGCTGGGGTCACCTAACCCCAGTTGTCTTCCTGCCTAGAGTGGGGGGGCTGGACCCGATGATCTGCAAGGTCCCTTCCAGCCCCTAACAATCTATGAATCTAGAAGCATGCAGTGGGTGTAATGTAACATTTAGCATGAATTCTTAAGGGCAGCTTCTCTTGCAGCTATACCAAAGCTCCACAGCCCAGTCCAGTGCCTATTGAAGTAAATTGAATGAGTTTCATTGATATTAGTGAGTATTGGATTGACTTAGTTCATTAGTCGGATTCCTTAGTCAGGAGCATGGAGGAAAGGAGGGGTATAGATGGCCCTTTGCAAGTCATTACATTACAAAATCCCAAACTCCTGTAAATACAGAAATTTGATAGTTGTCCCTGAAATGTTTGATAAATCTTTAAAGTATCTGACTCTCTTCTGTTTTAGGAACTACATAATATTTTTACTGAAAGCTATTTCTGGAAAGTAACCCAGCAAATACTTTGTTAGAGTGTTTGACTAAGCTTTTGTTTTTGTACAGTGTTGTAGAAGAGGAGACCAAACGCACTACAACAGTTACAGACACACAAATGGGATCAAATGATGATGCTGCCTTCTTGGAGAGATTAGCAAGGAGGGAGGAAAGACGCCAGAAACGTCTCCAGGAGGCCCTAGAGCGTCAAAAGGAGTTTGACCCAACGGTCACAGATGGAGGCTTGTCACTACCAAGCAGCAGAGAGATAAACAATGTGGATGAAGATGAGACCATGGGGAAAGAGGAAAAAATTGAAACACGCCAAGGACGCTACGAGATTGAGGAGACAGAAACCATTACCAAATCATACCAGAGGAACAGCTGGAGGCAAGATGACGAAGAAGAAGAAGTAAAGAAAGAAGAAAAAGATAAGGAGGTGCTGGAGGAGAAACCAAAGGAGATACCCACAGAGGAAAATCAGGTAGAGGTGACAAAAGAAAAGGAAACTATAGGCAAAGAAGATGTGTTAGAAGCAAAAACCTTAGCTGAGAATAATACCAGTGCCCAAATAGAAAGTGAGGAGGCCATAAATATCACTCTTGTTCTTGATTATGAGAAACTTAGGGATGAGGAAAAGCAAAAAGCTGAGGAGGACAAGAAAAGAGCAGAGGAAAAAGAAAGGCTTGAAGCAGCAGAGAGGGAGAGGATAAAGGAGGAGGAGCAAAGAAAAGCTGAGGAAGAAAGAGAGAGAATTCAAGCAGAAGAGAGAAGAGCAGCCCAAGAAAAAGAAAGGATTGAGGCAGAGGAAAGAGCAAAAGCAGAGGAAGAGAAAAGGGCAGCTGAGGAAAGGGAGAGGATCAAGGCAGAGGAGGAGAAGAAGGCAGCTGAGGAAAGGAAAAGGGCAAAGGAGGAGGAGGAGAGGAGGGCAGCTGAGGAAAGGAAAAGGGCAAAGGAGGAGGAAGAGAGGAGGGCAGCTGTGGAAAGGAAGAGGGCAAAGGAGGAGGAAGAGAGGAAGGCAGCTGAGGAAAGGGAGAGGGCTAAGGTAGAAGAGAAGAGGAAAGCAGAAGAAAAGGCTAAGATAGAGGCAGAGAAATTAAAAGCAAAACAAAAGATAGAAGCGAAAAAAATTGAAGACAAAAAAGTACAAGATAAACAGGTAAAAGAGAAGAAAATACAAGAGGAAAAGCCTCAAACAGCCTTCCTAAGGAAACAGGTACAGTAAACATTTTGCACCAAACAAGAGGCCTGTGATTTGTGAGAAATGTAATGCAAGAAAAAAACCACAGGATTGGAATTTGCTCACAGTTTTGTTCCTGCATTTAAACTACTAATGCTCTCTACAATCAGTATTTGATTTCTTTCTTTTTACTAAAACTCCTTGCTTCCACTTATCAATAATGCAATGCATGACACACTTAAATGCTCCGTATGCTGCTTTTGAAACCCTATGAAGGAAAACCTGGCATGTTCAGAATTTTGTGCATTTTGCCACCTTTTTCTTTTGCTTTAAGCAATAGCCTGTGAGGAGTAGAAAAGCAGAGTTTGATGCAAAAGATACATGAGCTATGTGCGAAGAACACTGAATAAGCGTATGTTGTTGATAGAAGCAAGCACAGCTGGGGGCGTTCTCTGCTGGGTTACTCAAGCACAATGCTACATGAGGGAGAAGTGAGCACAAAGGTCCAAGAAGGGGTGTGGGAGCACAGTTCCCTAAATTGGGAAAAGCAAGCACAGCTGCACATGGAGATGTGGGCACAGCAGCACACGATGGAGATGTGGGCACATCTGCACCAGTTGGGTATGTGATCACCGCTTTGGCAAATCAGAGCTGGAAGGGCAGCTGGTAGAATGATATTTTCATCTTAACAAATAAAAAGGGGGAAGAAAAAGAGGTTAAAGTGGAACCTAAAAAGGAAAAGTTACCAGATGAGAAACTTCGACCTCCTTTCAAAAAGGACCAGGTAATTATTGTGCACAAAGATGATGTCATAAGGAAACGTGCTGGAACTTACAATCAGAATGACTCCATAGCAAAAGGATATTTTGTTTAGCAAAGCGTGTGCTTTGTCATTAAGCATGTGCCTAGTCCCATTGAAGTCAACAGGGATGGAACCACTTGTGTGTTTAATGGTGAAGTGTTTGGGTGAGTATTTTGCCTAATATTGACATATTAGGGTGAAATCTTGCTGTATTTTTTAATGTGAGTGCCTCAGTGACTTCAATGAGACTCGCCTAAGTAAATCAGGCAGGCAAGGGTTGGACCCTGTAGATGGACTTTTCAGGACTGTTCCAACTAATTATCCTTCCCTGGTTTCCTCTACTTTTACTATGAACTTTTCTCCTATGACTGAGACCTGCCTTCATAATAATTATGAATACTTCTAGGTCTCTTTGGCCACCTAACTGACCTAACTAATGATTTTCCTTCCCTACCCCCTAAAATAATCTGATACTCAGTGACATATAAACCATGCAGATCCAAGGGGGTTTTTTTTGTTTTAAAGAGAAATCCTACCAAATTTACTGCATTGCATTTCTACTGTAAACACAGGAGGTGGTGCCATGGTGTTTTACTGTATGGTAAGTAAATGAGGTTGAGAATTATTTACTTTTCAGACTTATAATAGGCAAACAGGAATCATTGTTACATTTGTGCAGTGAATGTGCTTTTGGATCAGTCCTATAAGCTGCTGAATGTGTAAACCTCAGTTGGCTTTATTAAGAAAGTTGAGGCTATGTAAGGCCTGCCAGGGTTGCACCCCTTTGGGCTCAAACATACATATCTGGGATAAGTACTGCAGGATGGAGGTAGATGGGATGAGGTGGGATGAACTACCTCTACATCTGTGTACAGCGGTGATGCTCAACCTGCTCAATCTAGTCTGTGGGGCTTGCCATGGGCCTGGAAATGTGGCAGCAGGAGGGCAGTGGCAGTAATAATTGCCTGGCTCTGGAAGCTGCCACAATTAATACTGCCACCACACCCCTGGAGTTAAATTTTTGAATCTGCGGGGAGCCAGATGTTGTAGTCCACATGCCAAGTTGCTCCAGTACACACAGATTCAGAACTGATGTGTGGGATCAGATCTATGAATTTGCTTGTTCATAGCAGTTAAGGAGCAGGCTCAAGATTTCTAGCTGTAGGAGAGTATTTAGGTGAGTTTGGGACAGGCTGCAGCCTACTCTTAGAACTGAAAGCAAATGATACCAATGTGTTTTATGGACATGCAAGTGTCTAATTTTGGAAGCCTCATTTGAAGACTCATTTGTAGGGACCTACAGAAATTGTGATTTTGTGACACCTGGCATTACCCATGAAATTGGCCAATATCAGCAAAATCTGCAAAAAAAAAAAAAAATCCTGGTTCCCCAGAGGGAGCCAACGGTTCTCACAGCACTGTGGCTCAGCCACACAGCCCACTGGGGGCGAGGGGGCTGCAACCATGAAATGGAGCCCAAGATGGCTGCCAGCCCTGCTCCTTGCTGCTGATTGGCAGAGTGGCTGCCTGTCATGTGGCCCTGCCCCTCTTGACCAATCAGTGGTGAGGGGCAGGACTGCATGACAGACAGCCCTCAGAACCAATAAGCAGAGAGGGGTGGGGGCCACTGGGGCCTCTCAGCCAAAGAGAGGTGTTGGGGGGGGGGAGCTGCCAAAACCAGCCCATGAAAATGGCTACTGGCCCCATGATCTCCCCACAAAATTTGTTGTCTGCCTCCTCAAGTTGGATAGACCCCCCCCACTCATTTGAAACTGAAAAGCTACAAAACAGGGCATTTAAAGGGTTAGAAAAATGTTGGTCCTTATGTAAGAAGGGATATTGGTTAAACTAAGATGATTTAGCCTGGCAACAGTGAGAGCAGAAGGAAATCTAATGGCATTTAAGCCAGTGGAGGTTACAATAAAAAATGAAGTCCCTGTTTTTAGATTGTCCCAGAAGCAATTTTTTGTGGGCAGATGAATTTAAAACCAATAAAAGAAACTATTTCTCTGTACAAAAAGGGATCAGTTTCCAGAATTCAGTGCCATACCGTATCATTTAACACTGTAGATACTTTTAAGAGGATGCAGGATTAGTTTAGTACCATTAAACTTTGGAGAGACTTTGGGGTCCTACTAAGTGTGGGCTGCTCTCAGTTCCCATAAAAAAAATACAATCTGAGGGTGCTTTGCTGTTCTTATCTTCTCCCGTTATATGCAAGAATGACTCCTTTGAGACTAAGACTTCTGAAAGGGTTAGGAATTTTTTTTAAAGATTTTTTTGGGTGCTCAATTTAAGACTCATTTTCAAAAAGGCCCTCACTTTTTGAAACTATTCAGTACCTACTGTCTGAAAATCAGGTCCCTTTCAGGTTTCTGGGGTTGTATACTGAAAACTATTAGTCCCTTTGGAAATCTTAATGATCACTTTTTGGCTTAGGACAATATTGGTGTTCACATTACTGCAAGAACAGTCTAGATGTGGACCTTGAGCATCTAACAGTGATGTACAAAATTCAGACAAGCTCATTTTTTATTAAATATTATAAATATATTATCATTAAATATTATTAATTGAAGTTAGGAAGAGGATGTGACCCTAATAAGAACTTGGAAGCATGCTTCTCCTCTATGACACCACGTTTCTGCCTGTATTATACCAGCTTGTGCCCATTGTCAATGAGATCATAATCTGGCTTCTCAGAATTTTGGCTTCAGTCAAATTAGCAACTAGAAGTCCTGCTGCCTCTCTGAACTCTCCCAACACGTTGGGTCTGCAAAATTGGCCTGGAAAGTTCATAAGAACAAATTTTCTCATGACATGAGACTCCTGGTATTTCCTGCTTCTGGTGTGGCTAGACATGCTGCAAAAGTTGCTTTTTCTCATGGTATTTGGGTATTTCTGTGTTCACGGAGATTGGCAACAAAAAACCCTAGACCCAGATAGCTACAGCATTTGAGGCATTCCAAGATCAAACCCCAATCTGGAATCAAATGGTCCCAATCTTTAAGATGTACAGACCCAAAAGTTTGGGGTAGAAGAACTCTAGATTGAAATCTTCCAGATTACCCATTAATTTACAGGCCTGGTCAGAACTAGGAGCTGCAGATGTGTGTGAAATTGTAGATATAATTTAGAACTGAGTTAATCAGATATTTTTAAATTGCTAAACTGTTTATTCCTGTTTTGTTTGTGCCTGGGGTCAAGATATGTGGGAAGAAATGAGCTATCTCTGTGCAGATTATACTACCCACCCAATCTAATTCCATTGAAGTCAGTGGGAGCCCTTCTGTTAATTTCAGCAGGAGCTGAATTGGTCTCTGTTCCTCTGAAACATAAAAGTATTTAAAATGCCTACTTCTCTCACTTACCTGGTGAGAAATTGCTGCTGTGAAAGACTGATCCTGCTTCTATTACAGTCAATCGGAGTTTAATCACTGAAATTAATAGAAGCAGTAATGGGTCCTAAACTGCTGAAATAGATCTCTGATATCATGCTTCATAATCTTTTAATCAGAAATTCAAGTGGTGATGTTTTATCTAGCAAGTGTTTATATACACACTTGGTAAAATGTTAGCCTTCTGAACAGTTATGGATTGGATTCTGCTAATTCTTAAAGTGTGTTATTTAATTCTAACTTTCTTAGCAATTTAAATTAAGTTGTAGAATTTGCTGCCTTCCCCTGTGGGTCTTGCATCTTAGGCAGTTGGAATTATTGTTTGTTTTTTCAATGAGACTTAGAAGGGACTTCATGAAACAGTATGTGGGAAGAAATGTTCTCAAAACCCCATTACAGATGCCGTGACATTTAAAATCCCAGAGCCACCAACAGCCATGGTTTCAAAATCACTTTGACAAGTGGTACAGGAGATTGCTAATGGAGATGGAACCTTTCACTATTAACAATATATCAGGTGTTCAAATCTTTTCCAGATCTGGGAGTGACCCAAAGATACTGCTGTCTGATGGCTGCTTGTTACATTGAATAGAACTGATTGTCTCAGAGCAGTTTCTAGAAGACAGAAGTTCACAACTTCAAAGCTACAACCACTGCCACTGACAATAATGGGCTTATTTGCTGGCTGGCAGTCATAGCATCATGGCCAAAGAATGCATGTTCATGGAAACCAAACTCTCCTCTTACCCATCAAAATAATTCTGCCAGGTCATAAGCAAGACTGCAGTAGAATAGCATAGGGAAAACTTACATTGCTGCTGTCTGTTTTGTGGACTGAGCGATTTTTCTCTGAGTTATATACCCAGATTACATGACTGCCTCCCCCCGCTTTCAGTGCACGCCACATTTCAGCTGTCACGTCATATGTGTTTATACAAATGAACAAACAGCTTTTGATCCTAGTGACAGGCAGAGCTGGTATTGGAGATTCCAGCT